CTATGGAAAGCACGTTCAACAGCATAAAATGCCTCAGTGAGTCCTAGAGTTAGAAAGTGTTTACCAGAACATTGACCTTGGTGACAGCAAGTTCATGGGACAGTGGAGGTGGAAATCAGATTGTAGGAGTGGTGTGGCACAACTCACCAAGACGAAGAGTCTAGTGTAGTCCTTCAAAAAGTGAGCACACTTCTCTGGTGGAGACTCAGAGGTTCCCCAAAGTCTCAGGATAAAAAAGGCACATCTTCTAGTATGTCATTTTACTTGACATGAGAAAAAACATTTCTCATATAAAGGTATATAAACTTATATCTAAGATCCAGATAAAGTCAACTGAAAACTTAATTCCCTCCATGACAGCTCAAAGTCTTATGCAAGATTTCTGAGAATTCCTGGATGGAGGGGTGGGGGCTGAAGGCTTGTATGCTCATGGTCCTCTTTGGTTTCATACTCTAAGCATGCATCTTGCAAACTTACGATTAATGCCACTATTCCAAACTACATTGACCACATCAGTCCTCATGCTTAACGTCCACAGACTCAATACGGCATGAAATTTTGGGAAATGAAGATGAGGTTGAGATTACAGCAACACAAACAAGTTCAAATTGAGTATTAGATGCTCTATGATGAAAAATCCTTTGGCTAACTCACCACCAGAAAGTTATTCCCATGGCTATTTTGTTTTCTTGTTGGTTTATCCCTTCTTTTCCCTTCTCATGATCCTGTTTCATTACCACTGTCCTAGATTACTCTTGAGAATCCCAAATTCTTTCACTCTTTTATGTACTGCAAGTTCAGCTCTCTCCACCCTCCTCCCAAAGGCAGCTCTAGCTCTACCGCTGCACACCCAAATGGGTCAATATGACCAGCAGATACACCTTTTATTTAATAGGAGCCACTCCAAAGTTGTAGTTGTGAATAAAATTTTCTTCCCTTTGGAAAATGGTATATCTCCTTGGTCACCACAAAAACCCTTGCTAAGTCACTCATAATTGGACTATTGCATCGCTGATACTACCTAACTCGTTTCTCTGTCTTCATCTTTTTTTTTTTTTTTTCTGAGACAGGGTCTTGCTCTATTACCCAGGCTGGGGTGCAGTGGCACGATCACGGCTCATTACAACTTCAAAATCCTGGGCTCAAGTGATTCTCTTCGCTCAGTCTCTCGAGTAGCTAAGACTACAGGCATGCAACACCACGTCCAGATAATTTTTAAATTTTTTGTAGAGAATGGGATCTCACTGTATTGCCTGGGCTGGTCTCAAACTCCTAGACTCAAGAATCCCCCCACCTTGGACTCCCAAACTGCTAAGATTACAGGCGTGAGTCACTGCACTCGGCCTCTGTCTCCATTTTTTTCACCCCCAATTTGTCTTCAACAAGCCAGGGTGATATTTTTTCCAAAATTCAACTCTGATCACATCAGTCACCTGCTTAAACTTCTTTAGTAGTAACCCATATTCTACAGAATAAAGTTCATATCCTTTAGCATGGCATATATGATTCTGATCATTTTTCTGCCTCATCTTCCATCACTTGCCCTCAGGTACCCTGTGCTTAAGCCATATTGAGCTCTGGACACACATCTTTGCTTATATCATCTACCTGTTTGGAATTCCTTTCTCACTCTCTATATCTGGTTAATACCTTCTCATCTTCCAAAAGACACTTTGAAAGATGAGTATCTTATTGACCTAAGGAGATGGGGAAAAAGGCATGATTCAAAAGAGCCTTTTCTCTTCTCCACACTCTCCCTTAGGTGACCTTATCCAGGCCTCTATCTTGAAATACCATCATACCACATGACCCCCAAGTCTTTACTCCAGTACAGAATCTACCCCTACAATTCTAAACCCACACATCCAAATGGAAAAGCACCTCAGACACAATATACTTAAAATTGAACTCCTCTTCCTCTTCCAAAATCTTCGCTATATCCCACAGTCCTGCATGTAACTGACTGGACAGTCTTCTCTATCCCTATCCCTCCTGTCTTCCCACTGGACAGTTACCTGTCTTTGATTTCCACACACCTCAGCATTGATGAGGAGTTTTAACAGAGTGCTTGCCACATGAGTTGTTTAGGGACAGTAGCCATGTCTGATCTTGTTAGTGCTCCAGGGCTAAAGACATTTAATAAATGTTTGTTGAATAGATGAATGACTCCTAGAAAATGCAAACTGCTCACATGGTAGTTTTTATAATAGGATTTTGTGTTTCTGATATCATACAATGGCTACAATTTGCCTGATAGAAAATGCCTCTGGTTCATTCAACACCTTTAGTCAGCATGAAACTCTGCTCTTGCTCCTTAAACACCATCCCCCGCTTCCCCACTTCCTTGCTTTTGTTCACAGTGTCTCTTCAGTTCAGAATTTTCTTTTTAACATCTCCTTGGGTCAATAAGCTATTCATCTTTCAAGGTTCACTCATATAAAATTTACTTGTTCCATTCTTCCCTCTAAGTCTTCTTTGTCCTTCCCTCAAACTTTTCTTTTGGTACCTACTATATTTTGCATTGCATTATATTATTTGTATACATGTCTTTTTTTTTTTTTTTTAGATGGAGTTTTGCTCTTGTTGCCTAGGCTGGAGTGCAATGGTGCAATCTCGGCTCACCACAACCTCCACCTCCCGGGTTCAAATGATTCTTCTGCCTCAGCCTCCTGAGTAGCTGGGATTACAGGCATGCACCACCATGCCCAGCTAATTTTGTATTTTTTTTAGAAAAGACAGGGTTTCTCCATGTTGGTCAGGCTGGTCTCGAACTCCCGACTTCAGGTGATCTGCCTGCCTCGGCCTCCCAAAGTGCTGGGATTACAGGCATGAGCCACCGCACCCGGCCACGTTTTATCTTCCTACTATACTACTGGATTGATATCCTGGGGATCAGGCACGATCTCTTATGTTTGTGCCTTAAAAACTGCAAGGTCTCAATACATATATTCGATTAGATGGAGATAATTAGCTACTCGACAACAATGAAGAGACATCATGACAGTACCCTCTCACCACTCCTCGAGGGTGGTCAACAGTGGTATGGGATGCTTTTCCGTTGTGCAATTACTAGATATTACATGAACGGTGCTGCTCAGCTATAAAGAAAGTCCCAATCAGTCATCCCTTTTGGAACTTCATGACTGAAAATATTTTACTTTTGAAAACCACACAATTAGATGACATGTTGACATACTAAAACGTTTCCAAACCAAAAAGGGAGGCTAGGTGTTAAGTATTTTACCCTCAGACACTTTTAGTGTATTACTGCACTCTGCAGTAACATGGTAAGTGCCCAAAGTGAACTACTAGAATTGCTGTATTCCATGGCTTCTACCTTTTGAAGAACGATACTGAGATCTGTAGATCAATCTATGGATCAGTGGTGGGCAAGCCAGATAGAAATGCCCCTGAGTCAGAAAACCAACAGCCCATGTGGATGGTCAGATGTGGGCGGACATCCAGTCAGCAAAGAACAATTCTCTGGGCAAGAGAGTCGTTACCACCTGGCCCTTGTCGTAGTGGTGGTGATGGAGGTCGGGGGATGTGTGGGACATGTACAAATGGGGTCCAACCAGAGCAAGAAGTGACCCAGACTCTGGCAATGGGGCATAAGGCACTTGACTACCACCCTTGACAGGGCAGGACTAGGGCAAGGGAAGCTATACTGTAGATCTGAACTAAAGTACAGGCAGGGAGCTAAAGGAGTGGCTCAGAGGGGATGGGTGGAGTCTAGGAACAAGAGTACATCACTGGTCCTGTTTGGACAGTTCAAAAGAAAATGGCCTAAAGCTCCTTATAGAAACAAGGCTCTCCCCAGTGGAAGTAGAGGAATTGGAAAATGATGCAATAGGAAAGGAATGTATTGAAGTCTTATCTTGTGTGTAACAAATCACTTGTCTTCAATTTTGCTTTTACTTACAAATATTTATTTTGAATGCAAAATTTTTACATTGATCAAAAAGGATTGCGGTTGAGAAATGAGGTTCTAGAGGCAAGATTGGCCCCAAAAGTCTAGGACAGGGCAGGACCTACGTATGGAGGCTAAAGGGCTCCAAGGAGCATGTCACCAAGGAGCCGCCAACGGAGGCATTTCACTCTACCATCTCACTCTAACACTAGCACATTTTAGGGCCAGAGTTCTAAGGATATCTACATTCACTTGTGCTGACACTCCTCCCTCAAAGACTCCACCCCTTTTCTATGTGAGAGCTGGCGGCAGAGGTCAGGCTGTGTAGTCAGGAATTGCTGTGCAGGCTTCAGTTGGGAGGGTGTTTGGGAAAGCCAAGGGTTGACAACTGGAAAATGGAAGTTTGGTTCTCTAAATAAACTCTCCTGAGGTGAAATTATAGTCTTTAAAACCTTAACTCTTGGAGTTCATTAGACAAATTTGCAATCTAAAGCTGAGGGTTTCATTTTGACATATCTGTTTGTACACTGACAATGCTGCACGAATTTTCAGATGACTAATCACTTGTTCCAGATTGAAGCATTGTGTGATTAGCTTTATAGCCTTTAGAACAAGTTAAACAGTTTTTTAGCAACACAGTTTTTTGAGCCATATATTGAGAATATTTTAAAAATTAGGCATGTTATTGAAATGTATACCAATCTTCTCACATTAAAAACTGTAGTCACTAGCACTAACTGCTAAATGTCTTTCTCCCTAAATAGAATCTCAGAAGATCCATTAATCACTGTTACATAAACACAAAACAAATGATCTAAAGTCACTTTCAGGTTACAGTTTGCAAGTTGTCCTTCCTGAATCTATTGTGAAATAATTCCCTGTCAAGCTGGGGGTGGGTTGGTGGCAGCACCCAGATTAAAAGCCAATACATTCCTGTGAACAAATTATCCAACAAATAGCAGCTCAAAGGGATGCTTTACATTGAGGCAAAACTGGAAAAATACAGCTCTTTTTTTTCTTCTTAAATTACATTTAAGGGGAAGAGTCAGAGGGAAAATATATTGATACCTATTTGTGAATTTCTTTCTAGAAGTTATACCTCAATCTTCTGCAGTTCTTGCTTTTTCAACATGTTAGCAATTGGGAGTTGTGGTGACTACGCAGGAAACCAGCAACAACTGAAAATATCACATTCAAGAGGAGCAAAATAACACCAACTTTTTCTCTAAATGCTGCCAAGAATTTCTGGTGACTGTCTGCAGAGACACTTACAGAAAATTTAACAGGAATCTCGACCTGTTAGAACTTGCTGGGATGGATTACAATCCTTTTGCCTCAGAAGCTGTCACTAATAAAAGCTGTTTTTAAAGAAATACAAACTTTTTTTTTAAAGCAACAAATCCAAGTTGTTCCTGACCTCCTTAAATTAAAAATCACCACTGGGTTCATTCAAAAGTATAAAATAAATATGAAATACTTAAGACGACACATTGGCAGAGATTACTCTAAATTCACAAAGAAAACTCTGAGGTAATGCCAAACAAATTGTTATGTAATCATTTATTAAGCATGTGGGATTACTCAAACATAGCAGTTACCTAATCTAATATTTCAAGTGGAAAAAATATTTCATTGGTGAAGCAGGGAATGGGGATCAGGGATAAGCAAACCAGATAAAATATTTTAAAAATTCTATTAATGTACTCCAAAAATCTGGGGCTGTTCTAATCTTAAAACTTGCCTTAGTGGTTGCTGGTTTAGTTGCATGATTATAATGTATTTTTCTTTCTGTTGCCTTTGTTTTTTTTTTTTAAATCAGTGTGACAGCATTTTTCTTTGGGTCTTTGCATGTGCATAAGCAGAAAAATCCCAAGCCCTCCACATTTGAAGTAGGTAATTGGAATAATCATTTTATCATTGCATCCAGACCATCTCTGGTGTCTTAATGCTACCTGGTAGGCAGGGTACTATAGTGGTGAACGGTTTGTATTAAGACAGACTTTATTTTGAAGCTCAGCTCTGCCATTTATTATTAGCGACTTAAATTTGTGCAAATTATTTAATCTAAGTTTCATTTGCTTTGGCTAAAATATTGGGATATCTTGCTTATAGAAACCATTTCATGTAGCGTGCAACACTTCATAAGTGTTCCCATAAATACTAGTTAGTATTACAAGAATTCTTTTCAACATGATTTTCCTCAAAGGAAAAACATTTTGGTGATGAAGGTCTGGGAGTGGGGTGAGCACAGCCATGGGACTTTTGGAAGCCCCTCTAAATGGCTTCTTCACCATCATGAAAATGTAGTCCAGTTTGAAACTAGATGAGAGCCCACATACCACCACCTCTGTAGAAAGGAGACAGGGCCAGAGGATGCCACCCTCAGGAAGTCAGAGAGCAGTCTACACTGGGAAACGCAAACTAAGTGGCTCAATTGTGCCCTCTGGAAACTGTGTATTAGAAAAATACCACTATGGACTGATACACATATTGTCACTGCAAAGCAGGACGAATATTTTAAGGTATTCTTGTTACTACTAACAAGAAGTCCATGAAAGTTTCACTGTGCACCCATCCTCCAGTATCTATTCGCTTACAAGTTATAGAACCCACATATGAAAAAACAAATCCTCCTCTGTGCATTTTATATCCACCCCCCTCCACTGCCCTCTTAATACCTGCACCTGAAAATTCGTACTCACTGCTGTAATGGGGGACAGGAGGGAATGGCAGAAACTATAAAACAAAATTGCATTGGATAATTTCTCCAAGTTGTAAGCAGAATGAAGGTTATTACCATAATATTCAGAGAAAAAGTAAAGCAATGCTTTGAAGAGAAGCAGTAACTGAAGACTGAGAAGCAATACCATAATTCTCTGAAACCTGTTGTTTCTTCTAGTTGCCTGTTCAACATCATGCAGTTTCTATCTTTTGAGATGCTGCAGGGAACAAAAAAGCCATTGGAAATTTAGGTCTTGAAACCAAACAGTTGAGAAAAACAGTTTTCTACATTTTGAATTTTACATAGCATGATTTACGTTCCTCCATACGAGAACCGGAACAGCTCTAGCAAGCTGCCTAATCCCATTGCCAAGATGCATATTTAGTCAGGCTAGTTCCTCCAGAATAGATATTCATCTAAAAATGCCACCTCCACCTACATTTCTCTCAATAGCATGTTGGACACAGAGCCTTCTGCATGTCCAAAATTCCATGGTTAATGGTCCCTTTTTCCAATTATAAGAGAACAACCAGATGATTTAGCTTTGACAAAATGATTCAAGGATGTGTTTCCTACATCAGTGACTTAAACTTTCATATTTAGAAATAAATTATGCAGCAATTTGATATGAACCATCTTGCAGAAAACAGCCTGTAGCCACCAAATCTTCCAACTAGCCTGTTTTCACCACTGAACCATTATCAGTCTTGTGGGTAACAATTACAAATATAAATCTCCTCCTTACCCTTTTATTTTACCAACAGTTTTCCATTAGATTAGATGCTGAGTGCAGTCATGTAAACCTCCCAAGAATCATGACCTATGGATAAAAAGCTATTTCTCGATCTAAATGGAGTCAGCCACAGAATAATTTATGCATTAGTTCCTTCTCCGTGTACTTAGCAAGTTGTTTTAAATTTCCACAGGTCACGATGGTTCTATAAATATTTTATATACATCAATATACATAAATGTTCTTGCCCATGCATACTAAGACAATCTCTAAATAACATGAAGTAGTTCCAAGACTAGCCTCTCCAGTGACCTGCTAACGCAGGCTTTGTGCTTTTGCACGTTTGGAAGTGGCCTCAGCTGTTGGCACACACACACACACACACACACAAAACCAATGTATCTCAAGAGAGTGTCAAGCTTTTCCAGCTGTCCTTTACTTCTCCACCAATGCATGCCTTTTTGCCATTCTTTCCCAATTGGTCATGTGCACAATTTCTATCCCAAATCCCACTGTGTCAAGGGAACTTAACTATAAATACTTGCTAAGGAAGTGACAGAAGAAAAAAAAAAAAAAGCCTGATTTCTCAATGGGACTTAGCATTATATGGTCACATGAATTTCCTGTATTACCATGATCTTAGAGATTAGTACATAGAGAGATTTGTTTTATTCTGGGGTCTATTTCCAACTTACAGTAATAATCATTTAAAATAGTTTGTTTCAGTATAGGACATTAGAGTAATACTTGCATTCAAGTGCATTTATCCATTGGCTTTGAAAATAAATACTTCTGGAAATTTCTGAAGACTCAGGAATATTAATTAAGAGAACATTTCCTTACATTTCTGTTCTTTCTTGTTTTAGTCACCATTTCCCATTAATATTTAAGAAACGTGTATATTTAAAAGCTTTCTGGGGAAAACCTTCAGAAAAAATTCCTTTACAGTTTTACAACGCCTACGTCTACCCTCAATTTTGTGGAAAATCTTACCAATGTGAAGACAGAGCGATAGTTTTTCACAAGATGAAAGATACCCCAAAGTTTATTATGGCAAGCAGTTCACATGTAGGCTCATTACCACAACCCTAATATCACAAGGTAAGACCAAGATACAAAGATAAGGCTACACTGAAGTGTTAACCTGCCATGCAGTGGTAATGGCAACTACATTTCTTTTTTTCTGTACATACAAGTTACCCTATCTTTTCCAACAACCTATCAAATACCATTTAACAGTAGTACATAAATAGTGAAGTAGTCTTTGCAAAGTCTTTACAGAATCAAAACTGAACTCAATGCACCATCTATTTGTTTTTCCTAAGTTGGTCGAATGATCTTGGTTAGTATGATTTAGACAATTTGGAATCAAACCAACCAACCAAAAAAACCATGAAAAATATAGTGATTCCCATAACAAATCAGTTTTTCTGCTGTTTTGAGTTTTTGGAAAACAAAGTGATGAAAGTGCTAAAGCAAACAGGGTGCTAAAGGGCTCATGTGGTGTGTGCAGACTACCTCTCTCTGCACAGTCTTAACTGGCCTAAACCATGTCAAGTTAATGCAGTATGTTGGCTATAGAACTTAAGGGCACTGGTGCAGATCTAAATCTGGCTCAGAATCTACTTGAACTTCCTAAACATCTCTGGGCAGCAAGTTCATTATAAGCATGTTCTAGAGCATCCAGATATTCAACCATGGCCAAAGCAAGGCCTCTTAAATAGAATCCTAAGGTCCATTTAATGGTGGTTTGGAAAGAATGTGGTTGAAATACTAAGGCTATGCTTGTATGCACAACGAAGTTCAGAAAACTTAAAAAAAAAAAAAAAGAAAAAAGAAAAAACCCTTACACTTGAATGGTCAGGTGTAGTTCTGAGCTTTAGCTACCAAAATTAAGAAAAGGTTTGGCCCTTATGCATTCACATCCTTGCTCAATAAACAAAACACAAATATGAGTTTCCTTCTCTAGAACTAGTTTTCATCCCTAAAAATGGAGATTCAACTGCATTTCTTAATTCTACTTGCTGAGCATTCCCCAGATCACCAAAATACGCTTACAAACACAAACTCTCCTTTCTGTTCTCTGCCTCCTTAGATTCCCACCCTGGCTTAAAAAAAAACTTATGCCAGACACTGACTTAGTGAGCTCAATTATGCTTGCCTTTAAGACAACTATAGAACTGAGACATGAACAGCTTTGCTTTTCCCTAGTTACCCGGACATAATGCCTTTTCATTTGTTTCTTGTATTTGTGAAACAAATTTTATTTTCCTGCCTCTTTTCCAGTAAGGTTGAAATACATGCAACCAAGTTAGGATCTCCCTCTCTCTCATCAATAATAAAGCCAGAAAGTCGGATTTGAAACATTGTCCTTGTGGTCCTTGGAAGAACTCCCGGTCTTTAAATTGACAGTGCAGCTGTTGATCAAGTATTATTCAGAAAATTAATATATTCTTAAACTAATTTTCTGTCAGACAAGTTGATTGTAAAGACTTATACTTATGTCTAAGTAAAAACAATGCCTGTTTACATCTGTAAGAAACTGACAAAAATAATTTGGATGTAGAATGAAAAGCTCAACCTCATTTCAACTCTGTACTAGATGACAGAAATGCCCTGTGATGACCAAATGCTTGGGCAATGTAGGGTGACTGCCACCAATGAGCCAAAATACAATCACATGCATCAGAGTCAGAGGCTGGCTCCTCAAAGCAAGCCAGCTTTTCTGGTTAGAGATGGACACAGGATGTTGGCGGCGTCTACCAACACCCAGATGATATGAGAAAGGGTGACATTTGTAGCCATATATCTTTCAGAAACAAATGAAATCTGCAGTTTATCCTTAAGAAAAAGAGAAAGCCATACAATAGGATTATGGTGCATGAGAAAGAGCAGCTGAACTAGTCAGATCTGGCTTCTAGTAAAGATACTTCTAATTAACCTCAGGCAAGCCCCACAAGCACTGTATGAACACCCTCACCTGCAAAATTAGAGAATAGGTGTGGTGGTGTCCACATGCCTCTGTTCTCATATAACTCAATGGTCTCCAAACGTCTTTCATTTATGAAGAAAGTATTTTAGATTTAAATGATGTAAATGTGGGTGGGGACCTATCCTATCCACTGTTGCATCTTAATGTCCACTACACATTTAGTTCATAATTAAATGTGATGATTTTGATGCTTTAAAAATCCTTAAAATTAGGCCTTGATGAAAATCTTCACACATCTAGCAATAGCTAGACAAGACAAAATTTAGGTCAAGAAATGCTAACCAATTCAAGACAGAAAACAGTGTTTTGTTCAAGTTCCATAATGCAATCTGACACTGCTGAAATTGAACTTTGCTAAATAGAGACTTTTTTTTTTTAAATCTTAAGGTAGATTTTTTGTGGTTGTTAAATAATTCAGGGACTACTTCAAGTTTTTAGAAATGCCCCAGTACACAAGTATCTGATTAGACTGAAACCACCTATAAACTACAATCCATTATGTTTTACTCAAAATAATTGTGTGCTATTCTTATCTTGACTTGTCCATCTTGATGGTGCGCATGGCCAATTTAGAGTTACACTGGACTTGGGTAATAGTAAACATTGTATCAACAGTTAACACAATCTGTGATGCTTTTCTTTTTCTGGAAAAACCTATGGCAGATGCACCTGGAGACAAATTTTTCAAAAGGCTCCTCACGGCACTGGAGGATGCCACGTATTACATACAGAAGTAAAGGCGGTAGCTGCAAAGCATGTTCCCTAACATATTCATAACAGTGTACTATACCTTTCCCAGAGGCTTCCTTAGAAAGCAAAGTGTTTTTTTTTTTTTAAAATCCATGAATAAATGACCAAGAGATTATAAAGAATGCTGTGTTTTGGAGGTGAGACGTGACAATGTCAATAAATGTGGAAAGTAAAATTTCCCAACATTTCCATAAAGGTTTTTCTAGTGTACTACAAATAAGCCTTATCTCTATACTTGTCCTTTAGGAACTTGGTTTCTAAAACAAGAGTTATCTTGGGAATCCCCTTTGTTCATTATATAAAAATGATGTGACAGAAACAATTCTTAGGCATATTTCACTTCTCTTTAAAAAATTCTTTTAAAAGTCTAATATATTCTTAAGTGTTCACATTTGCACAACAGAAACAACTTTTATTTAACAGAATGTATTACTCTTGAAATGGTTGTTAAATTTGGCCAAAGCTCTTAAGTAATTTTGTAGCATCCTACACTCTGAATTCTGCAACTCAGTTTAATCTTCAGACACCCACTTGTTCCAGTCAGTGAAACAGAAAATTCTATTTATCAAAAACACAGTTTCCTGTTTAAAATGAGCACCCTCTTTGATATCATTTATTAAAAGCTACTTATGTCCCATTACAAGCTGCTATATTTGGCATTTATTGAAACTACCAGTAAACTCCAATATCATTATGATTTAGAAATCTTCAACATTTTTGGTATGTGGCAGAGTTCCAAACAGTTTGACCTTGCAATGTGAATGCTCTGTAAACCACAGCAGTGGCTTCTAGGGGAGCTGCTGAGCAGCTGTCATGTTTCCCAACAGAACAGGGTGTAACATTCTTCTGCTTACCATGTTTATTTAATGGCACACTCTAACTCTCAGGGCATGCAGTCTGCTGAAAACATCAACCATTATCATTGATTGCTGTGTACCCTTCGCTATACAGTTAAAAAACATTTAAACCTATTTGACTCTTTTGACAACAAATAAAACACATTATTTTATACTATTTGGGTCAAATTAATTTTATTATGCTCCATGATGAATTGCCACCAGTGCAACATCCTATTCACTATACATTTCAAAAAAAGAATTCACATACTAAACAAAATTTCAGTTGTTTGAAAATGAAATGATTGAAAGTCTTTATGAATCTCATACATACAATATGTGGCTAGCTGAAATTGTCTATCACGTAGCATTTAGATATAAAAAGCCTCATGCTAGTTTGTTAAATGCAAAGGCTACCAGACGACCATTTAGCTGGAGAATATACAGGAGGCTTTCAGACAACGCACAGGTATAGTGCTGCTCACAGTGCAGGATGGTAGAGAACTGAAACATGCAACCTTACGCCTTACTTGGTAAAGCAGATTTAGTCTTCATGCCTGGACTGAACTCCACAGCTGCTGTGTTTCAACCGATAGTAATTTAGACTTTTTGTAACAACAACCAATGTCTTTTTTTTCTTTAAGAAAAAAAGAGTAAACCAATTACCTTTGGCAAATTATAGGTCCATTTTACATGTTTAAAATTGTGCTTCGAATTCAAAGAATGGATACTCTCTGCTGAGAGAAGCTCCTGATAAATATTTATTACCACCAAAGTTAGCTGGAAAATCTAGGATTTATTGGCCAAAAGTTAAGAGAGATCTTAAACTGGCCTTACCCTGAAGACATTTCTAGGAAATTTAAAATGTTTTTTATATTGTCAAAAAGAAAAAAAAATTTTAATTAACATTACTTGAAATAAGTATAATATCCCATTTAACTTTTGTACAAATTCCTGATTTTATTGGTTAGTAGTTGTCCAGCCTCATCTGCACCAGATTCACTGAGCTCAAGCCACAATAAAAATGATAGTAAGTAGAAAAAGGTTTCTAGCAGCAGAGGGCACTGTTGTTGCAAGAAACAAAAAGTCTAGAATCTTTCCCATGTGCTTAAATTACTCTTGCAAGAAAGATAACATTCTTTGAATAACTTAACTATTTTACTGCACCACTTACTGCTTTCAGCAACAAAACCTTTTAAATTATTTCTTATGATAACTAGATGCATGATCACTAGAGATTATGTAATAAATGGTTAAAATTCAAGCCATATCTTGCAGGTCCAGCCTGTCAAGATCTGCCAATACTAGATTTTGGTCGGTACAATTCTAGATAGCGTAATTTTTAGTTGGATATTGTGACTATAGTAATGAAATACATTTGGAACTACATTATGCATATGACTCAATGTGAGAAAAATATGTGTCTGTATTTAAATCAGATAATTTTCTACCTAAAATTTAAAGTAGGTAGGTATGACAATTAGCATTATAAATATGAAACAACCACCTTTAGGCAGATTAGTGTACTGTAGAGAGGCAAAGAAACCCTACTTTTAACACACCATTTAGTATGCATAACAAATGTGCAGGTTGTAAAGTTTTATCTTTAAAAAAAAAATCTATCATTCAGTTATGTGTTCCAAGAAATTTGACATTGGGACCACCAATCTTAAGAAAAATGTAACCCTTCACATGCTATTTGACAAAAACCCTCAAAAATTATCAAAATAAATGCATGTTAGGTTCTGTGCTTTGATGCATATCTTTGCCAACTAGATTAGATTTTTATGGTTGGTATTTCTGAATACCTCAATCCACACAAAGTGCAAAATAAAAATGCTAAAATTCCACAGTATTTTAGTACTATTCTGATTTGTACAGTATTTTTAACCAAATATTGGAGTAATCATATTATTTCAGTTCATGTAGAATGAAAACTACTCCCTAAATCCCCCAAACTCCAACTTAAATTTTGTTTCAGAGTAATACCAAAAAAATTTTCACAAATCTTGCCAAAAAGAGCCTGCCACATTTGCTACAGCATAAAACTCAGTCAATAACAAGTATGTAAGGGCTCCTTATGATCCCAGTCTGCAAATACCACTGCTATACCAATAACAGGCAGTATTGCTGTAAGAGGTGTGTTACTCATCTTCCCCACTAGTATCTCTGTAGTGATTTTACGTAGAGCATATTGCTAAAATTTGAGAAACTGCATCGGTGTAGTGATATCTACAGAACTGTGCAATGTATCAGCTTCAACATTCATATGTAGCGTTGTATTCAAAATAAAGGGGCTAAAGAAACTAAGGTTTGCATCACTTAAAAAAGAATGTAGTGCTATACTAGTTTTTTTTTTTAAGAAAATTTAGGTACAGAAAAAGTAGGGTATGAAAATAGTGTTTTCCTTCTGGCATTATAAGTAAATTACATTAAGGTTTTTGTCAGTCTCACATATAATATTTAAACTCCCTTGTTGATGGAATGAAAAATATTCACAAATCAAGTGAGCATCCTGGTGTAAACTTGCACACAATAACAGGGAGTAGCTTTGTAGAGGATTACGACAAACCTTTACAGATTAAATGAGGTATTGCACAGATTAAAAAAAAGCAAAAAAGGCAACAAAAATATACAGCAAATTGGTAGAACATTTACATGATAATTTTACAGAATCCACAGACAGAAAGTAGAGTTTAGTATTTCACCTTAAAAATATATATATATATAATATATAGATCAGTCTTCCCACTCATCATCATCCTCAAAATCTTCTTCATCTTCATCATCTTCATCTTCATCTAGAAGAAAATAATCAAGACAATTAAAACATATGCATAAATAAAATGACATTACATAATTCTTGGGTGGTTTCTCCAATTATTTAACTCCTGAAACACAGATAACGTGACTCCCAGAAGAATCCAGTTACTAAAACAGTTTAAAGTGAATCTAAAGAAAAATATTTATAGAGTATGATAGTAAACTAAAGATTAAAACAGGGCTCAGAAGACAACGGTTCTAGTTCCTTAACATCTATGTGACAAATTTCAACCTGTTAATGTATAAAATCACATCTGGGTTGACCTGTCACAAATCCAACTGCCTTCTTGTACTCTTCACGTGGATTCTCAAACTCAAAACTTCTAACTTTTATTTCCTTCCCCAATCTTCTTTTCCTGCTCCATCCTGGTCCGCTCCATTTCAATAAATGGCATCACCATCCTGTCACATCATCAGGCCAAAAACCTAGAAATTATTACTACTTCCTCCTTTTTCACCATCCAATTATCAACCCTGCTCTTTTTCACCTCTTTCACTGCTACTCTCCACACCACCATCACATCCTGCCTGGATTATTGTAACTCTAGAGTCTATCTGACTCAGAGCAAATGGAGTGATATTATTTAAATTCCAAGTTTAAAAAATATGTTGCTACCCTTCTTAAAGTCCTCCTGTGGCTACCACTGCTATTTGAATGACGTCTGACGTTATCTCCCTCCACAAGATCCTACATGATTTGCCCAGATATAGTCTCTCCCACTTCCCAAACTTTTCTCATAATGCACTCTCCATTCAAGTCACTCTCTCTAGTAAGATGGTCTCCTTTCTGTCCCTTAAACTTACCAATCTTATTCTGGCTTTAGAACTTCTGCAGTAGCTATTTCTTTTGTTAAACTGAATCTTTTCATCATTTAGGAACCATTCAAAAACTACTTCCTCAGAGAGGCCTTTCCTGACCATCATATGTAAAGTACAGCCCTTCCCCACAATCAGTAACTGCCTATCCCATTTTATTTTCCTCATATCACTTACTAATATCTAAAATTATTATACTTTATCTATTAAGTTCCATGACAGCGGGTACCTTGCCTACCTTATTTTTTTCACTGTATCCTCAACACCAAAACAGCGCTACGCAGTTGTTCAATAAATATTTGTTGAAGGAATATTTAGATGTCATCAGATTTTCTAAGTATACTTCTATATTATACTGACTTTCCATATTTAACCTCTTTATATACCTATATATAAAATATGTATAAATATATATGCTATATATAAATATATATACATTTATATATCTATACATACAGGACCCATGAAGGCCAAGTATATAAAGTGAGACAGTAGCTGAGTAATTGTACTTGGTAATGATAAAGAGCCAGTAAGACTGCGTGACATATGTGTGGGTTACATGTACAGAACACAGAACCATCTTTTTCTTCTATTTTTCTCCATATAAAATTGATTGTGTGAAGGTAGTATTTGAAGAAGTACTGGAGTTGTAGTATTAGAACTTGAATAACAGAAGCCTGAGAGAGGCAACGTTATCTTCTCTTAGCCCTAAACTAAGTTGTTACTTTTACAACAATAATTATTATTTATTTATTTAAGTCTGATGGTCAGCTCTAAATTGTTACAGAATTTATTTGGAAAGGAGTTCAATTGACTTCATGTTAATTTTTGTGTTTACTTTCTAGCAAGGGAAATAATTTGCTACTAGCTTATGCTAGACATACTTCACAAAATTTACCTGGATGAAAAGCATCAAAGACACCCAACTATGCTGGCATTACAGAGTGACAAAAGACAGAAACTTATCAGTATCTATGGTGAAGAGGAAGATGTAGCTAATAATTCCATCATCAGGTACTACCACAGAAATACTAATAGTTAAAAGAAATGGGTCTGAAAATAAGTAAAAACCATCCTATATTTTCATTATATTAGCATGACTATTATATATTATTTAAAAAAAAAAAAAACCGTATTGTAGGGAAATAATTAGCAGAACTCACAGATACCAGCATAGAATAAATGCATTTTCAGAATCATGTATCTCACAGAAGCCTTACATTTCTTATGAATGAATGAAGACCTTTCTTTATCTCTTCCTAGCAAACAACCTCTAAACAAAAGCTTGAGATTTTTAATCTCATTCCTGTGACATTACTATGACATAAAAAATTCAGGCAGTTTACCTCATCTGTGAGGATTAGGGCTAAGAATTTAGGCAATTTTCACTGTTTTTAGAGTTTGCTAAAGAAGACTATACCATAGATATAACCTTAACTTTAAATACCATGTGTCTATGTATATCCTACTGACATGTAATTTAACAATTCAGACCTCTCCTGTGACTTCCAGACTCATAACCAAATGCCTACTCCAGATCTATAGTTGAATTAACAGGTATCTCAAATTTAATATGTAAAACCAAACTCCTAATCTTCCCTTTCAAACTTTTTCTTCCTAAGTCTTTCCCCTTTCCAGTTGTTCAAGTCAAAAACCTTGGAGTTATCTTGCACTCTTATTTTTCTTCAACTTTCATTTTCAAACCATCAGCAAACCCAGTGATCTCCACATTCAAAATATAACTAGTATTTAACCACTTCTCATTGGTGCTATAAACCTGGTTCAAGTCTCCATGATCTCTTGCTTGGATCATTACTATACCTCTGCTAAAAATCCTCCAATGGCTTCCCATCACATTCAGAATAAAAGCTAGTGTACTTCAAGGGGTCTCCAACGACTTCTTGTATTTCATTCCTTACTATTCTTTCCCTCCCTCTCTTGCAAGCTCCCTGATCTCCTCATTGTTTCTCAACCTAACAGACTTTATATTTTCTGTTCTTTCCATCAGATACACTTTCCCTAGTTTTCTACATGGTTCACTTCCTGAACTGCTGGTCTTTTCTTAAATGTCACCTCAGTTAGGCTTTATCGTCCCTTATCATTCTTTATCATTTCAAAATGAACCTCTCTCTCTCTCTCAACAGCCTGCTCCCTATTTCCCTTTTCTGTTAGACTTTTGTCCTTAGTTCATGTCACCATTTAACATACTATACATTTTTCTAGTTTGCTTTGTTTACTGCTTGTCTCTCTCTCTCTCATTAGACCTAATGCATGTCGATGAAGGAAGGGACTTCTGTTGTTTTGTCAAAATTTTATTACTATTCCACAATAAATATTTATCTCTATCTCTGTAATGGAACAAATATGCCTATTTAAGGAAAACAAACATTGCTCAAGGATCTTAACACATGCACATCCTTACAGAGAAACAAAAGGAAGATAACATTTATTGAGCACCTACCATGTGCTAGGCAATCTGCTGATCAGTGATATACTATTTAATTCTCACATCTATATGCTTTGTGAATTCTCTGAATGTAACAAACAAGAAACTGAGGCTCAGAGATTAAATAAATCTAATAAGAAGAAAGATCTGATTCTAGCACATTATGTTAGAGAAGCTACTTAGCAAACCTTAACCACTCCAATCAGCAAAACTCATATTCTTGTCTTTTCTTTAAAGCAATATTCATTTATATGGTGGTATGTATATGTTTAACAATAACCTCAGAATAGGTACTGGTTTATTCAAATCAACCTTTTAGAAAATGATAAAGGTTTAAAAAAGGTCAGTATTCTTTAGCAAACTCTAGAAACAGTAAAAATTACTTAAAATTCTTAGTCCTAATCCTCACAGATGAGGTAAATACCCTGATTTATTATTATTATTTTTATTATTATTTAATTAATTTTATTTTTTTGAGACGAAGTTTTGCTCTTATTGCCCAGGCTGGAGTGCAATGGTGCGATCCTGGCTCATCATGACCTCCACCTCCCGGGTTCAAGTGATTCTCCTGCCTCAGGCTCCCGAGTAGCTGGAATTACAGGCACGTGTCACCACGCCGGCTAACTTTTTTGTATTTTTAGTAGAGACGGAATTTCTCCATGTTGGCTGGGCTGGTCTCGAACTCCCAACCTCAGGTGATCCACCCGTCTCGGCCTCCCAAACTGCTGGGATTACAGGCATGAGTCACTGCACCCGGCCCTGAATCTTTTATGTCACAGTAATAAGATCTAAAAATCTCAAGCTTTGTTTAGAGGTTGTTTGCTAGGAAGTCTATCAGCATTTCCTGATATAGGAAACAAAATGGTCAATATTCCCAAAGCTGTTCTTTCAATTTATGGCTATGGCTGTGGTGGTGTTGCATTTGTTAAGTCTCAGACTAGTCACAGAGGCAACAACTTTTTAAAATACACCCTAGAGCTCATATCAGTAGTTACTCAATTAGCAGAGAGAAAGCTAGCAAAGACAGTCATAAAATAAAAATAACAGAATGTCATTCAAATTTATTAAACACACACACTCTCTGTCTCACTCTCTCTCTCTACCTGAAGAATGAATGGCTTTGCTCCTTTTCTGCATCACTTCCATTAATGCACCCACAATTCCTGAAGTGGGTGCAGGTGTTGGTGGTGTAGACTCTTGGCCATCAGACACCTTGGAAAAGAAAGTTAGCAAAACTCAGTAATAAATCTTTAGCAAAGAATCTTTGTCTCCAGAAAGTCCTACTTTCTTAGAATGACTTATTATCGTAAAAGACAAAAAAGATATTAAACTGGCAAGTCCAGGACAAGATTAATTAAATTAACAAGAAACAAACTGCTGCCTTAAAGATATTATTCAAAAATATTTCCTTTCCATCTTAATGTATAAGCCAACAATACATTTCTAAATCTATGTTTATATTCAGATAACAAACCCTCTCCTGAATAATACTTGCTGGGTTACTTCTGTTTATTCCAGCACACACAGACTTAAGACGATCAACTTTAAAGCTATTATCAAGGGACTTCAAGTTATAAACAGAGGGTAGTATTTAGACTCAAGTTGTTACGTGGGAAGTACACTGAAGATATTGAAAAACAACTGTAGAAACTTATGTTTGCCTACAAAAATTCAGCTTTACACCTTTATGTTATATTTATACCTTCAAAATGAACCTCTTTTCTCATAGTATATAATTTCTTTTTAAGGAGATGAGTTGAGTTGAACAACTTTCAAAATGTACCTGCCTCACTAGGCAAGTAACAATCCCTAACTGAAGTACTTCCATCTGTGCCAAAGTGCATTCAGGAAAAAAAAAAAAAATTATCACTAAAGATGAAACAGCACAGTACTAAATATTACTTATGTTTTAATACATATATATATATAAAATATATATTTTTGAAATTCTTAATCATTTCCCAAAGACAATTATTTTATTAAGACAAACTTCCCATTTCTGATCTGTATAATTCTTCCTCTAATGCTGCTTTTTCTTCCTGGAGTAAACACCTTTTTTAAAAAAAATTCACAGCGGTTCCCCCTAAGATACAGATTCATTCCTTAGTATTTTGGCTTTAAACATTATGTATTAATTATTTCCAGTATAGAAGTACCACAAATGAAAAAAGATAACACAGAGTTTCAGAGCTTTGTATTTCTGTACAAGGCTCTCAGAGGTACAACAGCAGTAGGGACATTTAGACTACCTTTAAGCAATGTGATAATGTAAAGTAGAGAGCACAAAGCAGAAGTGAGCACACTGTCATCAAACACATTTTTTGAAGTGCTTACTTGAACAAGGTACTATTTGAGGTACTGAAACCATGGAATTCAAAATATATGTGAGTACTGAATACTTCCTACTAGCTCTGTAAAGTAAATCCATGGTTTTATGTTAATCATATTCATCACAGAATAAACTGATGATTTACTCAAAAAATTTAAAGAAACACAGCCATAGAAATTTCAACCACAAAATGGCCTTTTTAAAAAAAATAACAAACTCAGATTACATGTATAACATGCCAATAGTTCACTGACTATGCACTCTATGATTGCAATAAATGCAATCAAAAGGAAAGTGATTATTTAGGATAAAAATGGCCCCCATTCAACACTTAGAATAGAAAATATTTTTCTTTCTAAAAGGTACTTACACATCAATTAACGGGTTTTTCTTTTTGGAAAGAAAGGGAGCGTTGGGATGGGAGAAAGTTATGGAGAAAGTAAATAGAAAATTTAACTCTAACTTTTTAAAATAAACGAGGATACAACTTTATTCATTAAAACTTTAAAATCACCTTATTATAGCTAAATGAGAGAAAGAAACAAAAGTTGGTTTGTGAAAAGGAAATAGAAAAGGGAAAACAAAAAGGTAGGTTAGGAGTGGGAGTTACGGGAATGAGAGTGACACAGGAACTAGCAGAGATTCCAAGGAAAAAGCTAGGCTGTGGTCATTTTGACATTAATTCTCCCCACTAACCACTCTAAGTTCTTCAACTGCTTCTGACAGATCTTTAGTTTGATCTAAACGGGGAAAGAGAATAGAGATGATTGCTCATAGGTTTAAGTGTCATCCTGAATACATATAAAGAAAAGAGTTAGATATATTTTAAAGATCAGAGTCTTCTTAAATCTATGCTAATGTTTACACATTTTCATTCAATTAGTTGTGCTTCCTATCTATTACTCTCCTTTAGACAAAGTTTCTGAGATCTAGAAAGCTACTTTAATTCCTATACTGGGAAATAATTTTCAATTAAAACATCCTCTGTCGTCTCCGTTTACTTCACAGAAAAAAAACCTATCATCCATGACCTGCCTGAAGTCCTGGAGAACGTGTTATAAAAGGCTCCAAAAGACGTATGTAAATGTAGACAGGTCAGGCTCAAGGATAGGAGTAAGCAAACTACAGCCCATGGGCCAAATCCAGTCTGTTCTTGTATTTTTTTTTTAAAACTATCTAAAAACTAAGCTTGATTTTTACATTTCTAAATGGCTGATAGAAAATAAGAGTATTTTTGATATGTGAAAGTTATATAAAATTCAAATTTCAGTGTCCAAATACAGTTTTATGAACACAAGCATGACCATTCATTTATGTATTGTCTGTGGTGCTTCTGTGGTAAAACAGCAGAGCTGAGTGGTCACGACAAGAGGCCATATTGCCTATATAAGCCTAAAATTTTACTACCTGATCCTTTATGGAAAAACGTTTGCTTAACTCTAAGATTAAATGACCTGTAAGATTAAATGATTACCTCATCCAAATCAGATAATCCTAAATTTATTTGCCATCACTGTCAGAAATTCTATTACAACTCTTTCAATTTTTTTGAGTCTGATTCTCTACTAATCTAAATTTTAGAACATGAAAACTCTGGAACGTGATTTAATTTTCATAAAGCTACTGGTTTAGATTTCCTAAGGAAATTGGTTTCAAGTAGGGCTATTTTTAATTCTCATAGCTTAATAAAGATTTTTCTTTAAAGTGTCTTTTATTTGAAAGTAAAGTCTAGAACAAGGAATTGCAAACATACTGTAAAATTCCATTCATATGAAGTTCTAGAACAGGTAAAACTAATCTACGGTGATTAGATCAGTGATTGTTTATGGAAAAATTAACTGGGAAGAGGTATGCAAAACCTTCGGGGTGACAGAAATGCCCTACATTTGCATATAGAGATAGGGGTTACATGGCTATAGAGATGTATCAAAGCTGAATTAAAACTTGTGCATGTCATTGCATGTAAAAGTATTTTTAAATTTATAGGGTTAAGAATGAATTAGCAAGAGAAAAAAAAGAACGAATACACTTTTCAAAAATGTCTTTCAATAAATTACTTTAAAATTTCATCATGATAGAGGATCTAAAATGAAAAAAAAAGCTTACTTACAGACTTTAGTTGGATACCCTGTCGTATCTGGTCTAACAGTGCATCTCGTCCAGAGCAGGACACTGGCCGACTGTTCTGCTCCACTTTTTTTAGCTGAGCACCCTCTCTAATTTGATCTAAAAGAGCTGCTTTGTTTCCTGCAGTAGTTGGAACCTGATGGTCCCCGTCAGAAGGCAGGCCAGTGGGGGGCGGTGGCCCAGGTGGAGGCGGAGGTGGAGGCGGTGGGGGTGGTGCCACTGGCCCTACCCCCAACACAGACGGAGGTGGTGGTGGAGGCCCTGAAGGTGCTGAGGAGGGAAGGGCTGGAGGTGGAGGAGGGTACATCCTATTTGGCGGTGGTGGAGGGACTGCTACACTTGGCCTGGAAGGAGGCGGTGGTGGAGGTGCAGCTGTGGGAGCTCTTGAAGGTGGTGGGGGAGGAGCGCCTCTTCCCCTGGCAGGAGGAGGAGGAGGACCTGAGTTGTGTGGAGGGGGAGGAGGAGGAGGTGGCCCTCCCCTTGATGGTGGTGGAGGTGGTGGTGCTGAAATGCAAACAGAAAAACAGAAGGCATGCTTTTTTCTTTTCATAAACATCATATTGAAAAGTAATTCATTTTAACATGTATAAAAATCAAATATCAAAAAAGGGCCTCATCTTTGCATTTTATTTCACAAAGATACCTGAGCACAGATGGTATCTCACAAATTTTTTTGAGAATTGTCAGCCTAAAGATCACTTTCTTATTGGTTCTTAAAAAAATATGAGCTAAAACAGAATAGTTCACTTTTTAGGAATTAGTACAGTTCCGAAAGTAAGGGGAATAAATTTCTACTTTACAAAATAATAACAAAATATACCAATGAAATTAAACATTTTGTTAATTAGCATTATTTTACATTTTAATAAAAATAAATGAATACCTTCCCTCTTTAAAAAAGAATCAAGTACACTTATTTTTTTTAAATAAAATCAATTCACATTCAGAATTACAGTGTAGTATAGCTTAACAGAATTCATTCACATTAATCTGCGCTAAAGCCCAAATATAATGCTTTCCTTTCAAAATGTAAGCCTTTGTCATCTAATTTACATTTGTACTTTCATAGTATAATGTCTGTATCTCTAAAAATAGTCTACAATTCTAGTAATGGCATTATGGGAGGCTGGTTGCTTCGCTGAAATGCTCAATTACTTATTCCAGAGACATAAACTAACGGGTTATTAACAAATTAACTGAGAATTTCTATATACTGCAAAATTGAAGTTATTAACAAAAATTACTATTATTCTAGCAGTCAGGATATTAGCATTCTTATTCTACATCAGTAAAAATGAAAGATATAACACGGCTGAGCATGGTGGCTCATGCCTGTAATCCCAGCACTTTGGGAGAGCAAAGCGGGAGGATCACTTGAGGCCAAGAGTTTGAGAACAACCTGGTTGACATGGAAAAACCCCGTTTCTATTAAAACTATAAAAATTAGCAGGGTGTAGTGGTGCATGCCTGTAATCCCAGCTACCTGGGTGGCTGAGGCATGAGACTCCTTTACATCTAAATATACTGAGACCAGTACTGGCATAATGTTTATGAACTATATGAATCAATCAATCAATCAATCAATCAATCAATCAATCAAAGTTGAAATGAACACTGGCAGTGAAAAAGACACAAGTAAACCGAATGCCTAATCTAAAATGACTGTTAAGTTCTTCAGAAGAATGTTTTAACTGGAGCTTTTGCTTGACTACACTATTATGAGTATGCAAAAGCTAGGAAGAAGGAAAGAAAGCAGTCCTAAATGAATAAGGTAGCAAAGAGATGACTGTTACATTGGAAAATTTAGAGTATTTTATCTGCATTTTACTGTGCTAATTATTAAGACAAAACTAAAATACAAGGTCCTTTAAAAGAAATATCAAATCTTAAAAGGTTATAAATTGTGCTCTCAGGTACAAAAGAAAATTTTATACTTTATCCAAGAAAAAGGATTTGTATTTCAAAATTAATAGAAAGTTTACATTATTTATATTCTGAAAATATATTACTAATTAGAAAGTGATTATATTTAAATTACTACTTCTGAATTACAATAAAATCTGGCGATTTATAGGACTCCTTAAGTAAAACATTTAGGCAACTATAAGTTTTTACTTTAAAATAGAATAGCTGGAAGATTTTGTATGGATTTTTATGAATAAAGACTTAATAAACAAAATCTTGTAAAGTTTTTAGTTATAATAAAATAATGTTAAGACGTAGTATGACGGGCCACATTTGTTGTCCAGAAACTTCAACACTCTGCTCAAGGAAGAGTTCACATGTATGAATGTACCTGTTTTCCATGAAACTGACCTCAAAAGATTAAAACAAAACAGAACGCTCAATAGAGATAAAAGTTACCTTGCCTTCGCAGTTCATTTTTAACAGCTTCAACACCTCCTGTTTTTTCAATAAAGTCATATATAACTTTTGATGTTTCTCTGTCTTTAAGCTGTGCCTCTGAGATTCCACACATATCAAAAAGATTCTTCAATTCTGGATCCAAATTATTCAGCTACAAAACAAAGTAACTGCTAACTATAAAAATATATCCCAATTAAAAAAAAAAAACATTAATTTTAAGGCTCATCTGTGTCCTTCTGAAATTATTTTGCCCTTTTAAACTTTTAACATGCTTATATTACTTACATGCTAACTAAACGATTTTACTTAAAAAAAACTGAACAGATAGATTTCCTATTTTCTTCTTCTTCTTTTTTGTTCCCTGCCTTCAAAAAGAGGGCATCTCATCTAGATTTCTATTAGCCTATTCATGATTCAGACATCTCCAATGCTCATGTGATCTACCTTGTCCTAAGTATGTATGTAAAACCAGGAATACACAGACAAAAACAGTAAATTAATTTGAAAATCTGAGAGCAAGGATCTTCCTGTAATCCCAAGCATAATGCCCAGCACAAAGAGGTGCTCAGTATGTTTGCAGAGTTAACATTGCAGCTATGACAGAAATAACCAAAAAGATTCTTTACTCCAATCATAAATAATACCTCTTTAAAATAACGTATCCAAACGCTGATTAATTTTTGCCAGCAATTTCACAGTGCTACAAAACAATGGTAAAACTGCCAAAAAGAATAGGAGAATGAAAAGATCTAGAGAATTCAACAACTGAATATTCAGATACTACTTTTTAGTAATTTGGTATACATTCCCCTGAAATTATCACTTGGCAGAAATGATTTTCTTCTCTTGGCTTTCAAAGCACAAGGATTTTATTTATACAGTGTATAAAGCCAAGGTACACAAACCTTGGTCTAAGTCTTTAGCAACTTAGTCATGAATGACGGAACAATAATATGGTTTTAAACCTTAGTCGCATATGTATATAAAACACAAGCACATTCAAACAGATACTAGACACCACAAAAATGAATTTAAAAAAATCTAAAATAGGCCAATACATTTCCACAGAGCTATAATGTACATGATTGGAAAACATACTTACATCAAAGCCTGTATTTGGATCCCAACCAACATGTCCAATGTGCCTAAAGTAGAAAATAGAAAAAAAAACAGAAAAAACAAAATGCATAAAGGGCATTATAAACACAATATATATGAAATCCAATCAACATTTGGCTTTGAATTTTTGGCCTGAACTAATAGTTCTCACAGACATAACCATATTATGATAAAAACTATGTACAAAGAGTCAGAAGAACAGGATTCTAGCCCTGACTCTGCTACTAACTGAAACTTAAAATCTTTGTACAATCTCTCTCAGCATCTATTTACTTAACTGTCAAATTAGCATAAGAGTCCAAGCATTATATATATGACCGGATAGGGTTTCATAATGAGCTAATAAAATAACGCATATGAAAATGTTTGAAATATGTTATATAAATACCAAATGTTTTTACTGGTCCTAAGGAGTATCCGTACACAACTCCTAAATGCTATTTTTAGAGCAAAGTGAGAAATCGTTTTTATGTTCAATAATTAGTTGAAGAAGCAACTTTATCTTATTTTTCTTTTCTCATAGTTGAAAAAGTAAATAAACTGTAAGATTCCAAGAACATCTATTGAGCAGCTGCCTTAAAAAAAAAAAAAAAAAAAAAAACTCCAATAAAGTGCATAGTTAAAACAGTATCCAAGTGATGAATGTACACACCCTCCCAAAAAGAAAAGAAAATTTTCTAACAAGTTAAAAATCAAGAACAGCAATGAATAAATCAAAAGTGAAGATAAAAACAACAAAAGAACTGTCTTACTGGAAATTGCTTGGTGTTCCTATATCTGCCTTGGTTAATCTCTTCTTTTTAGCTTTTCCTTTTTTCTTTTCTTTGGTATGGGAGATGTTGTTGACTTGTGGACCATAAAATCTATTTGTTGTGATTTCTGGATTTTTTATGTCGACTGTAGCCATGGGTAGATTAGGACCTGCAAATAAAACCAAATTATGTAGAAAGGATATAATTTAACAATGATATAAAATAATTTACAATTTAAATTTTTTTTTCTGAAATAGGATCACTTCATTATAAATTATTTATATTTTAAACTTCTATATTTTTCCATAAAGTGCTGCCTAAATTTCTAAAATCTGTAAGTTCTTAAAGACATTAGTGTAGATGCACTATTTCAAAGCAAACTTACATTTTTATACCATTAAATTTCATAAAGAATATGAACTTCCAGCTAGAATTTAAATATAATTAGTCTAATCTCTTAAATTTTGATTATGATAGCCTCATACCCAACACATTGCTCAATGGTAAAGTGAAACGTATCTTATAACAAGGATAAAGAAAGTAAAGTAAGTGTCTATTTTGTTTTAAATTTAACAAAGAAATATAGGCTTAACTCTTTGTTTCAACTCTGTTAGTCAAGAGGAAAAAGGATACTTAAAATTATTACTACCATTTGTTCCAAAACTGACATACTTAAGTCAAATGATCTTTTCCCCACCAGTACGCATACACCTTCACTATCAGAAGTATAGAATTCAAAAACTTAAAATGCAAAAATTCTTAAAGCACTCATCCTGTGCAAGAATCAACAGTAAAAATATCAAAGGCATCTTTCCATATTATTAACAGTATCTTCAGAAGTGGTACTAAATGTAGCACAAAACTTGTCTTACAATTCAAAATAAAATTCTTGATCTTAAAAGTATGAAAGTTTGAATGTGAAGCATTCAACTGAAAAATTTCTTAAAAATTCAACTAAAGGGCAACGCATGTTCCTTAGAAATCCTATTTTTATATGTTTCTCTGACAAATCCTCCTATGAGGCCAAGTTCCTCTGAGGTGACTACATTAACGACCACTTCCAAAACATATGAAATACTATCATCGTTGTGTAGAAAATAATTTAACATAGCACACTTGAGACTGCTCTTCTTAGAAAGGACCACTTGCAAGGTTGGCCCTCAGTTGACCATTTGGGAAGTTGGATTTCAAGAGGGTTTCCACTATTCCCTGATAAGGTGGGCTTTTTGTGTCTAAATTGTTTGTGCTAACATTGCAGTTTATGTTGAACATCTACTTTCCTTCTGGGAGTCTGGAATCTTGGTAAGTGCAAGGCAGGGGAGACCTATGTAACCAGCCCCCCAACAAAAACCCTGAGCACCAAGTCTCAAGCTTTTCCTTTAGACAACATTTCACATGTTGTCACAATTCATTATTGGAGGAATTAGGTGCAACCTTTGTGACTCCACTGGGAGAACTCTTGGAAACTTGTGTGTGGTTTTTTTATGAACTTCATCCCACGTATCTTTTCCTTTGCGGATTTTGTTTTATATGTGTTTTCACTGTAATAAATGTTTGCCGTGAGTACATTTATATATTGAGTCCTGTAAATCCTTCTGGTGAATCGCCACCTCTGAGGATAGTCTTGAGGATCCCCAACATAATCAATAAATGGCAAATAGAAATCTCAAGGATAATGTATATTAGGTGATTCTTAAAATCCAATTTGACTGTAATTCTTTAATTATGCCCCAAACCACCAATGTATCCTACTTACTAAAATTATCTGGGAAAAAAAAAAAAAGTTTATTTACATGGGTAAATTGTATATACCCTATTTTCTCCCAACTCTACTATTAAAGATAAAACAAAGCTAAAACAAATTTATGAAAGCCATGTCACCTTATCAAAAAAGTAAATAGTCTAGAAAGGTATATTTTTAATATCACCAAAATTCAACTATTTTCCCTTAATATTCAAATCCTATTTATACATAGTATGTTAATAATCCTAAAGTTTTAGTTACAATTTTATTCAAAAATTCCATAGGAAGTTGCTGATATTGATAAGAAATAATTTTTGGAAAAAATGAGAGCTAGTGAATAATATGCATAAAACCATTAAAAGCTTTTTCAGTGCCCAGGAATAATCTGAAAAATAACTAGATCAGTAAGTAAAGGTGACTTAAGCAGTACAGAATGACCTGAAAGGCTTATTAGGAATACAGGATATGAATTTTCAAATTTGCTTAGGCATCAGATTTTGGCATTTACACAGTTGTACAAAATAAGGACTTACTGAGAATACCCAGAATGTGGGGGCTAGAGGGTTGAATTGGGATTACACTCAGACCTTCACAGACTTACCTGGTGGTCTGCTTTCACTTCTCATTCTTCCCTTTCTGCCCTCTCGCTTATCTTTACCAGTCAGTATCAGCAACACCATCCACAATAAGGATGCTACAAATTACTTTTAGCTTCTTATCTTTATATCTTAATAAAATTTAAGAATTAAGACAAAATTAGGAGTATCAGAATTAGGTACTCCCTGGCCAGGCACAGTGGCTCAAGCCTGTAATCAACACTTTGGGAGGCCAAGGCAGGTGGATCACGAGGTCAGGAGTTCCAGACCAGCCTGGCCAATACGGTGAAACCCCGTCTCTAATAAAATACAAAAATTAGCTGGGCGTGATGGTACGCGCCTATAATCCCATCTATTCAGGAGGCTGAGGCAGGAGAATCACTTGAACCTGGGAGGCTGAGATTGTGCCACTGACTCCAGCCTGGGTGACAGAGCAAGACTCTGTCTCAAAAAAGAAAAAAAAAAAAAAAAAGATTTAGGCACTCTCTTTATTCATATGACTTTTCCTGAACTAAGTATTCAAACAGCAACTACAATCAGACTCACCAGTAAAATATAAAAACAGAAAACAACAAAAATATTTTCTGCCACTTTAGCTTATGTAAAAGCCATCTATTATACTATAGATGATTAGCAATGGAAACAGAGTTGGATAAAGTTAAGTTTAATGATTTAAATTATCCAAGCTAGTACATTTTTGGAAAATCAGTTTCTTATAACCTTGATTTATAACTCACTAGAGAAAGTAATTCAGCTGTCTCTGACGAAGATTCAAGAATGAAGATAGGAACAAAATATGAGTGATATGTGAAACGAATAACAATGTTTAACTCATACCGTAATCAGACTGTGTGTTTTCCCTCTTCCTCTACCCAAAAATCAGGTATGGATATATTATTATGCATCAACATTATCTCTTTAAGTCACTATAAATGAATTTCGTTAGTAGTAGTTAAAACATTATTTTAAGTAAGCCTATAAAGAAAAATCCATATAATGGAGATATATAGAAAATTAGTATTAGATGGGAAATTAAGAGTTTCTTTTCAAAATCACCTTTCATTTTATTAATGAAAATGAAGGACAGTAAGAGTCAGGGGATCTTTATAAAGTCACACGATTAGTGACAGAAGCAAACATGTACTCTGGTATCTTGGTTCCTAGTCCACTACCCTTCCAATTAACTATTTTACCTCTTTTATTTTTGAGATGGAGTCTCGCTCTCTTACCCAGGCTGGAGTGCAATGGCGCCATCTCGGCTCACTGCAACCTCCACCTCCTGGGTTCAAGCGATTCTCCTGCCTCAGCTTTCCGGATAGCTGGGACTACAGGTGCATGCCACCAAGCCTGGCTAATGTTTTGTATTTTTAGTAGAGATGGGGTTTCATCGTATTAGCTAGGATGGTCTTGATCTCCTGACCTTGTGATCCACCTGCCTCGGCCTCCCCAAGTGTTGGGATTACATGTGTGAGCCATCGTGCCTGGCCAACTATTCTACCTCTTACACAAAAGTCGACCTACAAGGTGGATGACATTGCCAATTTTACAAATGCCATAATACACTCTTTGTTTACCAATTTATCAGTTTTCTTGGTCTATAGTCCAACAATTCATTATTCAATAAATATGTACTAACAACTCACAGAATTTAGAAAAAAATGGAATTCTACACATTCAAGAGGTTAGGTACTTGGTTATTTCTGTTGACAATGGTTATTTACTACTTTAGGGTTTGAAGATGTTAGGAAATAAGTTTAAAATGGTATTCTAAAGCCAAATTAAATACCTGTTTCAAGTGACACACTAAAAAAAGTGAATACCTGTTTAAGGTATAGAGTCATTTTTAAAATAATGTAAAGTATATGAAAGATTTAGTAACAGAAATATGTACTCAAGTCATTTCTAGTAAAGTTTATTCCATTTATGAAATTACACTCATCCTAAGAACATATAATGTAAACATATAATGAAGGGGGGCTGTTTTCCTTCTTTTTTCAAAAAACAAATGACAAATTATCTCCTGATTAAGGACAACTGTTGCAGGAAAATGTTTTTAAATGTTCTTGTGAACAGACATGTCTAATTTTAAATCTAAAAGAACTCAAGTTTCCCATTAATTACATAAAAAGCAAAGAAGCCTCATCAAGGTATAAAACAGTCGAAAAACAGGTGGCCTAGAGGCCTCTGATGTCAAGCAGTCACGAAGCTGGGAACAAATCATTGGAAAGCATATATGCTAAAATGTGAAATTGACCAATAAAGAAATTAGGAGTGAGGAAGATACTGAATTGCATTTTAGGAATGTATGTAAATTCCACAGAAAGTATCTTTTTAATAATTAAAATTTGAAAAGGTGTGGTAAACTGATAATCTAATCTAAGTAAGGATCTGAGACAAGGCACCTGCATGGCTACTGGAGGACATGGTACAGGGGCCCACTGCCACCTAGTGGTGGTGCACCAAATACAGTCAAGTAATAATGCTGCCTCCCAAACAGTAGTCTCCACTTAGAGGTGAAAGCAAGGTAGTTGAAAGCAAAGCAGTTTTAAAATATTACAACTTGTATTGATAATTATTTATTTCATTTTTTATTGTGTATTAATATATTAATTCCATATTATATGTATATTTTATAAGTATACAAGTATGGGCAACACATGCTGTATAATTTTGCCCTTTAACAACACTATTAAAAAAAAACCCCTCCACTTATTTGATAAAAGAAGTCTGAAACCACTGAGCCAAATGATTAAAACTAAAGATTAAAAACCAACAGCCAACTCAGAGAAAGAAACTACATTTAATTCTAAGTGGGTCTCTTAGTAGGGATAATAAAATTATGAAACACCACTGTTACATAAAGAGTTTTCAAATTCTATCTATTCATGGAAACTAGGTGCCTCTTCAGAAATTCATTTTATAAATATTCACCCCTCCATATTCACAGTTCCATGTCCATGCATTCCACATCCATGGATTCGACCAACTGTGGATTCAAAATAAAAATGGATGGGTCCATCTGTTCCGAGCATGTACAGACTATTCTTGCTATTATTTCCTAGACAATACAGTATAACAACTATTTACCCAGCACTGCTTCTCAGCCTTTTGGCTAAGATCAAATGTACCTAGCATTTACATTGTATTAGGTTTTATGAGTACTCTAAGGAGGATTTAAAGCATATAGGAGAATCTGTGGTTATGTGCAAATACTATGTCATTTTGTATCACAGACTTGAGTATCAGTGAAGTTTCCTATCCATGGGGGGATCCTGGAACTGATCCAACATGGATATATGTATTTACAACTTTAATTATATTGTTTCTACAGCATCTACACTTTAAAATCTGGGGTTACTTTCCCCAAAGTGTTTCCATGGCACCACTAGAAAGTCTTCTCCATTGGTACTCAATACTGTATATACTCTCCAAACTCAAAATAATGTAACAAATTCAGAAAGGTTGAAATACTAGACTTATATCAAGGAAAATTTCCAATACTACATTGAAAGTTCACAGATGAGCAACTTGTAACTCAGCTGCTTCTGTTTCTTTTGCCTCTGCCAAGTACTAGCTTATATATTCTGAGACATGATATTTACCCTGTGTCTCAGTTTTGCCTTCAAAATCATTTGGACATAACATAGTGGTTAAGGGGCCAGGCTCTAGAGTCAAATCATCTGATGCTGAATCTTGCTTCACTACTTACTAGTTATGAGATCTTGAGCAAGTTACCTATCTGTGCCTCAGTTTCCTTATCTATAAAAGAGATAACAGGAGCTACTTCAGAAGGTTGCTGAACAGTGCCTGGCAGATAGTACAAGATCATTAAATACTAGTTGCTATTATTATAGTTGTCATCATCTTCATCAGAATAACTAGTATTTATTAAGCACTATGCTAAGCTTTGATTACTTCAATCCCTGTAACAGCCCTAAACAGTATTAATGTTTCTATTCAAAAGAGAAAGCGAAACTATACAATATTTGTTACCTGTTAAGTACTACTGAAGGTAGTCAGGCATTTAAAAAATTAATGAGGTAAATAACCCAGAATTTAGTACAGCAAAATTTGGTTCATGTTTCTGTATCAGGAAAAGAAATGTAAGGACAAAATCAAAAAGCAACATACCTGTTTAAAAGAAACAAACCCCAACAATCACCAATAGCTGTCAGATATTAAGAACTTTGTATTATGTAAGTTTTCCTTGAATAATCATTCTAGGTTCTGATAAAAGGATCTGAGATGTGATTTTAAAAAGAAGCAGCCATTTTCTCTATCATAATAAAGGGTCCTGGAGAATGGTTCTTTACCTTCACAGAGTCAGGGACCTCATTTCAACAGATGAAAGCCATGGATCCTCTCTCCAGAGAAAAGAACATACTTAGCACATAATTTCAGGGACTTTAAGAAGTCTAGGGTAAGAATTTCTGCTCCTGGACTTTATCTTTTACTGCTTTTACTCTCTGGTATTTAATATTTTTTAAAAAATGAATTCATAATACTTCAAGTTGTCATTATCAAATTAAAGAGCATTATATGCAGCTAAATTAGTTCTAAATACACCATAACAGTAGGTGTTCATTCTGAAAGGGGCTTCATGTAACACATAACCAGTGTGAAATAATACTTTGAAATAAGAATGAAAGATAAATCTTAAAGTAGGAAATTAACAAATATGCTAGACAAAATTTACTGCCTCTAGGAAAAATGTTAAGGCTAGATTGTATACTCAGTCAACTGTGAATCCAGAATTAAGATATAAGTATTAGTGATCTCCACACTATGTATTCTTTCTTCATGTCAGAAAAATATCGAAGAATATTGTTTCCTAAGTCTCGTCAGTCATTAATTAAAAAGAACACAATAAACCGTATAATTTGATCATAGATACTAAATATTACTTATTAATGTATGGTACATGTTTTCACAAGGATTAAGATGCAATAGATACTAAATATTACTAATGTATGGTACACGTTTCCACAAGGATTAAACTGTCATCTAAAATCCTAAACGATTAATAATTGTCAAAAAGCTTACCATTTGGGGGATCTCGTCTTTTCTCTGTTAGAAAATAAATTAGAAGAATATTATTAAATATATGTAAGACAACATCAACATAAAAAAATTAATTTACTAAACTGTCTTATTCCTAAATTGATGTATGTGTGACTAAGGAAGATTTTTCAGAAGACCCGACATTTAAGCAGAGATCTAAATAAAATAAGGAAGGGAACAATATATTCAAAGGCTCCAAGGAGGGTGCAACATGAAAGAACATCATGAAGGCTGGACTGTAGTGAGCAAAAGGCACAGTGAAAGGAAACAAGTCAGAAGGAAAGAACAGGACTAGATCATGCAGGATTCTGTAGGCCATGGTTAAGGACTATAGATTATATGTGTATATGATAGGAAGCTCTTACAGAATTTTAAATAGAGAAAGTGATATAACCTAATCTACACGTTTACTCTGGCTACTGTATAGAAAAGTGATAGTAAAAAGGATTGAGTAGCAGCAGGGAGACTAGTCAGAGAGCTAGTGTAGCAGTCCAACTGACAGATCATGGCGGCCTGGATTAGAATGGTAGCAGCAGAAATGGTAAGAAATAGTCAGACAGGACAAGTTTTTGAAGGCAGAGCCAATCTGATAGGACTCTGATAGGATTTATGAGGGACCATGGTGAGCCTGAGGGATAAGATGGAACAAATGCCTTTTGCTGAAACAAGGAAGATTAGTAGAAGAATAGGAACAGGTCTGAGTGGGGCTAGGGTTCGGGATACAGGACATGGATCAAATATTCTGCTCAGACGTGTTAAGTCTAAAGGCTATTGTGTCACTTAACTTGAGTAGACAGAGTCTGAAGCTCAGGGAAGATGTGTCAGTACTGAAGACAAAACTTTGAGAGTCATCAGCATACAGTTTTTGGAACCATAGGACTGGATGAAAGCACATGTTCATTCTCCTGAAACTGATCTGCTTAAGATGATTTTGGAAAGGTTCCCCTTTCCTAGTCACCCTTCTCCACTTTACAAGAGAAAGGCCTGATACACTGTTGTCGAACAATAGTTCTATACCAATTAATTTAAAGCTTTATACTATCCTGCATTGTTCTGTAATTGTTTTATATGTGTTACACAATAAACAGGTTCCTTATGGGTTTTATAGTATATAGTATTAGGAACAAAATAGAGAGACAAGGCAATGTTTATAGATCTTGTTAGCAACTCTGCTTATTTGCTTCTAAGTTTACCTAAAGTCTTTGTTTACAAAGTATAAAATACTTTTAAAACTTAACAAACAATGCTATCACAAATGCAAAATTAAAAGACAATACATATGACATTTTATCAACAAAAAACGTTATTGGAATGGGTCCTTCAGTAAATCTAAAAAAAAACAGTTCTCAAGAAAAATATTATTTTAAGGTAAAGACCACCAAATTTTTTTGTGAATAGTAAATATTTTAGGTAATAGTTTAGGCTTTGAGGACCACATAATCACTGTCATCACTATTGAACTGTGTTGTGGCAAAAAAGTAGCCAAACACAACATGTAAACCAATGAATATAGCTAAGTTTCAGTAAACTTTTATTTACAAAAACAGGAAGTGGCCCACACTTGTCCCATGAGCATTAGTTTGCTGGTCCAATTTAAGTAATTAAAAAAAGAGTTACCAGATTTCCTTTGTCGGCGGCCCAACAGGTCTGTAACTGCTTTTCGGAATTTTTTTGCTTCTTCTTCATTGGCAAAATTAAGAGCAACTTGACAAGTCTGAAATATTTTCATCATAAAGCAGAAACAACAGAATCATGCTTTATATAACAGCTTTATATCATAAAAACAATGAGCAAAAGAAGTATATTTCTAAAGAATGAAAGGTTAATTTTACTAGCAGATAAGACATTATTTCACCTTCAGCAAAAAAATAAAAACAGTAAATTGAATTTGATCTTTCAATAAGGCTCTATAAATAATTTGGATTAGAAAAGGCAAGCAATGAAAAAAGATGGTAATAAAGAAAAATATGACTTACATCTCCAGCAAAGGTATGAAAATATCCTCTAGGACTATTATATACAAAGTTATTGTATAGTTCTTGTTCCCACAATAGTTTCCCATCCTAGAAAAAAGTCAAAAATTAAAATAAGAACTACCAAAACATAATCTCTAGGAATAAAGCAGATGACTCATATTAAGATAACTGTTTATATTAAAAATAACTTTTACATGCACACATGCAACATATTTATAATATATAAATAGTGTCACATAATCTAATCAGTAATTTCTTAAAACTGTAAACACTGGATAACGTGTCTTTCATAAAACCTACATATCAAGTCAGTTTAATTCAGCTAAGATATAATCTCCCTAGCCAACCATTTCCAAATTCAGTTACTTGGTCAAATACATAACCAGAATAATTACTAGGTCATCAATGTTACATAGAGGGAAGAGGACACTTTTGTACATGAACTGATTATCAAAGCACAGTTCTACCAGCAATATTTAGACAATGTACTATCAAACACTGCAGGAATATTTTATGTTCTTTTCCTCAATTTTATAGATGTGGGAGGGTCAAATATACTTTCCTTGTACTGCTCATTAACCACCTTCAAATTCTTAACTTTTGCAGAGTACCTTTCTAATTACATACTGGTATAAGTAGTATTAATCATGATGCAGAAAGAGACTGATAATTAAAATGTATCAAGGTTAAACTATGGATAAGAGTGCCATGATGACTGCCATATCTATTGTCATAGTATAAAAAATAGGTTTAACCTTAATACCAAAGGTGAAGAATCATGAACGTTCAGCAATTGGAAATAAGTGGTTAGAGAAACATAGTCATTGCCCTATTCAGAAATGCAAGGTTCTACCCAGACCACAATTTAAAAATATGTACAATACACTGTTCACCCATGATAACCACTGCAATGGAATTCCTTTCTTCTTAGTGGAGTACTATGCATAAGCCATTTCTAAATAGTGCTTCTCAACAGTTATGAGAAATATGTCAAAGCACTTGGGGGTTTCTTTCAAATTATGTATGTGTTCCCCACCCTCCAGAATCACTGCCATAGTAAGCCACTGCTAGTGACAGAAGCATGTCGTATCTCTCAGCTGTCTTGGAAGCAGACTTTAAGAAGCACTAATTTAGCCCGGGACTGGTGGCTCAGGCCTGTAATCCCAGCACTTTGGGAGCCTGAGGCAGGAGGATCACTTGAGTCCAGGAGTTTGAAACCAGCCTGGGCAAAACAGCAGAACCCATCTCTACAAAAAAATACAAAAATTAGCCAGGTGTGGTGGCATGTGCCTGTAGTCACAGCTACTCAGGAGGCTGAGGTGGGAAGATTGCTTGAGCCAAGGAGATCAAGGTTGCAGTAAGCTGTGCACTCCAGGCTGGTGATAGAGCAAGAGCAAGACCCTGTCTCAAAACAACAACAACAAAAGATGTACCAATTTACCAAATACCATAACTAAGATCTCATTTAAACTCAGTGAAGTACTTCAAAACAGACCAAGATGGTTATCTGATTTTACAAATAAAGCTGAGACCAGGGGTGTAAAAATCTCTTGACTGTTATCTATCAGGTCATATTAGTGCCCAACAGTTTAGAGGTAGTTTTAGTATTTTGTAATTAAAATCTCATTGCACTTACTGTCACATATAAATATTAACCATGGAGGCTTACTTACAGAAAGGTTTTTAAAAAATAATGGAGACTTCATCTTAGCAAAATGATGTTTTTATGACAACTGTAAGAAATGAATATCTAACAAAGGGTATCCAATCTATAGCAATGTGATTTATGATTGGGAGTGAGGGACATAAAGCTATGAAAATCTGAATATATTCTATCATGAGAAACAACATAAGGAAAAATGAGTAGCAAACAGATTTTTATAGATATTGAAATGTTTTAAACCTGGGCTAAATAATAGTACATACTGAGCTAAAATATTATTTTGTTGTTCCCTGAACAGACTATGTATGCTATTCTATAATGAACAAGATAGAATAAAAGAGTATCATTAAAAAAATACAGAGTGTAAAGAAAGCCCAAGAACCAATAGGCATAATTAATAAAAAAAAAAAAAAAAAGGCTTAATGCATGGTAGCAGTAGAAAGATAAAATAGGAAACTATTCACATTCTGGCTTCAGACATGTTCCCATTTGGTCATGATTTCCATATGTCAATATCTAAAAACCAAGCTTCGCTCTTCTAATATCAGTTTATGTACAAATTTAAATATCACATGTAGGATAATCAAATCTAAACTGAATTGTAATTGATATAGAAAACCTAGCCGGGTGCGGTGCCTCACGCCTGTAATCTTAGCACTTTGGGAGGCCGAGGCGGGCGGATCACAAGGTCAGGAGATCGAGACCATCCTGGCTAACACAGTGAAACCCCGTCTCTACTAAAAATACAAAAAATTAGCCAGGCGTGGTGGTGTGTGCCTGTTGTCCCAGCTACTCGGAGGCTGAGGCAGGAGAATGGTTTGAACCCAGGAGGCGGAGCTTGCAGTGAGCCGAGATGGTGCCACTGCACTCCAGCCTGAGCGACAAAGCGAGACTCCGTCTCAAAAAAAAAAAAAAAGAAAAAGAAAAAGAAAACCTAATCACCTAGTTTAAAGTGAAAGCAAATCAAAGCTCACCTTAATGTCAAATATTCTTAAAAAATAAGATCTCTGTGGATTGTCCTTAACAAGACAAGCAACACCACTGCACTTCTTTGACCACATACAGTTCCGATCTGCTGCATATAACTGCACCACTGCTGAAGACATAGTCTGCAAAATATAAAATTTATAACCATTAGGTTCAAAATAGTATGTAGATGATCACAGCCCCTGCTGACAGCTTGACTGCAGCCACCCAGCTAAGCAGCTCCTAAATTCCTGATTCACAGAAACAAGGAGATAATAAACATGTATTGTTATTTTAAGCCACTAGTTTTTGAAGTGATTTCTTACGTAGTAATAAAGAACTAATATAACACTCACATAACAATAATTACTGAAAACATTTACTGATGCTTAAAATGTGTTAGAAAATGTGTTAATCACTTTTAAATATAGCCTCATTTAATTTTTATTACTATGATAACCTCATTTTATACTTCAGAAACCCGACACTAAAGAGGGTAATTTGCCCAATACCACACAGCTAAATGGCAGAGCTGAAATTCCAAATCCAGGCAATTTGCGACTTCAAACCTAGCATTCTTATTCCCCCTATTATACAGTTTCCCAATAAAGTGAACATTTAGGCAATGAAGTAGTAGTAACGGCTAACTTCTATAAAGCAGTTAAGCACTTATCTAGATAAGGACTGAGTCAAACGTGAAAGCAGTATTACCACCCTGGAAGGCAGATTATAATATCTTCTTTCTAAAGTGAGTTTAAGATTTTAAGTGATTTGCAGAAGGGGCCACATAGTTTTAATGCTATACTGAGGATACAAAAAAGATCTGAAAGACTACTGTCTCAATTTTACCAAGGATAGTCCCTAAATAGAACCCTTTCAGATGTATAAGAGGGAAGCCAACTGGTTACATGCAATGGACACTTTAGGGCATTAGGATTTTCCAGTACACCATGTTGCCACCTTCCGTCTCAAGACTGTATCATGAAAAGGTATAAACTAATTTTATCCTAAGTTAAGTTTATTTTATAACTAGAATGTAACTATTCAACCTTCAGTTACTATGAAAGTGATACATATATATATACTGATAAAGCACTTACAAATCCTCTGAAAGCTGTAATTATGTTTTCTGATCCAGTAATTTCACTTCTAAACTAAAAATTAAGAAAATCATTTAGAATATACTTTGCATTTTAATGTAAATATAAAGTATTTCACATAAATATGTATTATTTTAAAGAGGAAGAACTGAAATAACCTAAAATAGGAGCTGATTAAGTAATTATGGTATCTTAGTTCAATGGAATTGGGCTCTGTAATAAAAAATAGACTACATTAAGATTTGGAGATACGCTGTTTAAGGTTTACTTAACTATGCCTGAGGGGTGCCGCCCTCTTTTGGTAAGACGAATTCTAAAGAACAATTGTATGCACAAACCTTTTATAACTGGATACTAAAGTCAGAAATGTAAGATCAGTATACTGTGAGGATCAAAAGTCCATAAAGACTTGCTCATATAACAATGTTCAATGTTATGTTTATTATTATTATACTTTAAGTTCTAGGGTACATGTGCATAACGTGCAGGTTTGTTACATATGTATATTTGTGCCATGATGGTGTGCTGCACCCATCAACTCGTCAGCACCCATCAACTCGTCATTTACATCAGGTATAACTCCCAATGCAATCCCTCCCCCCTCCCCTCAATGTTATGTTTTTAACATTACAGACCAAACTCAACCTTGAACTTCACACACAGTACTGAGCAGGACACAAAGGAACAGAAAAATTTCTGCAAGAGTCATTAAAAATTACGATAACTTAAAAACAAAAAATGTGTATACTGGGACACTGGGTTTCAAAGAGAAGACTGAAGAATGTGGGACATTTTTTGGCCTGCTCAAAACACACTTGTGTTTGCAAGTGTACAATCTCAGGACGACAGCGTCATAGGCATCCTGCTGCCAGCACTGAAAACTTCAGAAAAATGGGTCTTGCATACACTAGCTAAAGGTATCAAATACCAGGCTGAATAATTCAAAAATCAAACAAGCAAATTTGTTAGTTCTAAGGAGAATTCATATAAAGTCTTTTTTAGTATGGTACTATCAAAAGACATTCATTTCTAAAAAGGAAAGCAATTAGGAAATTAGATGTACCAAAATGAAGATCTAAAAATCTCCCTACTTTTTACCAGAAATCAAGAAGTAACAGCTCACCAAAAAAAAAAGAAAAAAAAAAAACAAGTTATTCAATAGGGTCTGAAATTCCATTACGAAAATCCCCTTGCTAGCCAAAGGACTAAACATTCATGATGTTATAAATATTCATGTTGTAAAACACCACACGGCTATATATGTGAACTTTAAAGAACAAAACAAAACAAAAAAACCCAAACTAAAAAACATTTAAACTTTTAGATAAATTTAATTCTTAAAACACCTGCTTAAGAAATAAAGACTAACAATGCTATAATTTTTCACAGACAGGATATTGCATTATAAACATTAAAACTAAAAAAAAAACAACTATTCAAAAGCAATTTTCAGTAACTGGATTTTCAAATATTTGCTACACTCTTATTATCAGTCTAAGTGTCTATTTCATTAATTCTTACCTTCAGTCTGAAAATGACACACCACAGTACCTTGTAAAGCCTTTTCTAATTCAGAATAATTAGAGTGACTATGAGAATAACTAGCATACATTTAATACAGTATATTAATGCTAGACAATATAAAAATAATAATCCCCACACTCTAGATTGACAGTGACTTAATTAAGTTTTTAAAGACATTCCTTCCATTCCTTTAGGTAATTACAATGAATCAATTCCATTCCTTCTTGTCTTTTGTAATTAAGAAGATATTAATGAAAAACAACCTAACAACAAGTGCTTAGGAAGGAAAATCTATTTCTTATTACCCTAATAATGTTAAGGTTAAAATCTGCTAATTAAAAGGAAAAAAAGTACTGTATCAACTTTGGTAGAAACAGAACCTGTCGTCTCTTGTGTATTCCTGATATTTCAGTACTGAATAACTGTAATAACATATTCATTCTTAGAACTTTGATGATCAAGGGCAAGAAGAATATGGGGGATGTATTCTAGGAAGTGAATTCCCTCCCACTGTCCTTCTGCCTGGCACTTCCATCTCTTTTGAGGTTGACTCTGCAACAGTCTACTTGAAGTATTTCTCTGATTCCTTAGGTTGAAATGACTTTTTTTGGGGGGGCACATTTCTGAAGTACTTGTTTGTGTACCTTGTGTTACTGTTATTCCACTGGTCTTATTCTAAATCAGAATAATTTTTTGTATTGATTTCTTAACCACTAAAAAGACTGCAATTCCCATAAGCACTTAAATTAGTTCTGCAAGCTTATACTTCCACTCCACCTATACTTTGTCCCCAAGTGAACAAGTATTTGTTAAAAACTACATGTTCTGATTTTGATAATAATACTACAGTAATAAGAGAATGACTCTGATTTTAGGATATGTAAGCCTGAAATATTATAAAGAGGCATTATGTCTGCAAGTTATTCTCACGTTATTCAGAAAAAAAATAACATGCATGTATACACATATAGAAAAAAAACATGGTAAATGTAATAAACATTTGGCAAATCTGGATGAAGTATATATAGAAGCTCTTTGTACTGTATCTGAAAGTATGAAATTATTTCTAACTTTAACAAGCACAAATGATTTATTAAAATGTATGACTCTTAGCTCTCTTTCACAACCACAGCAATCCTGAGAAGGTGATCCTCTCCCCAGAGCCATTACTACCTCTATATATGTTAGCCACTGCTGCAATGGCCCAAAACTAAGAAAACTCCCACTTCCTCCTATTCCCTCTATATGTATACCAACTTTCTTGAAAGTTCTATCCGAGTAAGACTTAAACCACAAACATTCAGCATTTCTACTGTTTAAATTCCTTTCACATTTTCAGAACAACCACATTATGTAACAGGTCAGAATAAGAATTTTAGATCAGGAAAATAGGTATTTCTTTGACTAAAGAATCAGCTAGACAAGGAAAAGACTAGAAAATACTACGAGTCACAGGGATCCTTGAGTTTAGCCATCAACTGCCTACAACAAACACTAAGATGACTTAACACTGAATAACTGTCTACAATTACTTTAATAATCTAATAAATATACAATGTTGTTAAAGAAAATATTTAAAAATATTTTCTCTTTTTCTTTTTGAGACAAGGTCTTGCTCTGTTACCCATGCAGGAGTGCACTGGTGAGTGAAATTGCTCACCACAGCATCAAGCCCCTAGGTTCAAGTGATCCTCCTACCTCACCCAGCCTTCTGAGTAGCTGGGACTACCAGCACACACCACCATGAATGGCCAATTTTCTAATTTTTTTGTAGAGATGCGGTCTAACTATGTTGTGCAGGCTAGTCTCGAACTCCTCACCTCAAGTGATCCTCCTACCTTGGCCTCCTAAAGTGTTGGGATTACAGATGTGAGCCACTGGGTCTGGCCAAAAATATTTTTTCAATAAATACTCAAAATACACTAAATGTGGGGGGAAAATCATATGACTTAACAAAATAAAGCATTTTCTATGATCATGTTGGCCCAGATTAGCAGTCAAATACTCCAACTTTTATATGTACGCATGTATCCTAATGTGTATTTGGCCTCAAATGTCTGAAAACTAACATTGGAAAATCCATTCTAAGTTTTCTCATTATATAAAAGCTAAGATTTAAACACATTCCTAGATGTTCTGATGATATATTTAAATGAAATGACCTATTATTACTCTGAATATACAATTGGCCCTTGAACAACACAGGTTTGAACTGTGTGGGTCCACTTACATGCAGGTCTTTTTCACTAAATTGTCAGGACTCCATATTACAGGGTTCTGCATCCACAACCAAATGTCGATTGAAAAATATGGTTATTAGCACGATGAGACACACACAAAACAGGAGGGCAGACTTTTCACATGGGTGGGTTCTGAAGGACCTCAGTATGTGTGAACTTTGGTATCCGTAGGTGGTCCTAGAACCAATCCCCCACGGATACTAGGAGATGACTGTAAAATTTTAATCTATACATTATAAAAAGTAGTATAAAAGTAAAGAAATGCAAAGAATTTAGTTG